ATAAATTTTAAGGGAGAAACTAAATGAATGGGGTTTCCGATATGTGTTGAACCATGACAGAGGAACTTATTACCAATGCTCCAAATTATTGATTGAATAGCGGAATGATAGATAAGGTGAACTTAATTCCATAACTTGTAGGCATTTCAAGTTTACTGTACATGGCCTTTCCCAAGTTTTATTGTTTTCATTTTTCTTTAAAATCTTTTACGAGGAAAGTAAGCCATGGTTTAAACTTCTCATGAATTCTCCTGTTGTTTTCTGTTGGCCTGAAGACAATGTGAAGGTCATAGGGTGACTAAAGCTATTGTTTGTTCAAGTGTTATGGCGGCAAACCGTACCGGAGGCTGAATTTCCCTTCAAACATTTTGACTTACAGTTAGAACGAGTAGACAGTACCCTTTCTGTCTAATTAGCACAGAAACACGTGTATGGGGCGGGAAGTTTGGTGGAGGTCCATATCCGTCGGCTCTTTCTGGCTTTCTAGATTGAAGAGCTGGAAACCATCAAATTCTTGTTTATTAAAATTAATATAGAAAAACTCGACTGCCAAGGATTATTTTTGCTTTCGGAAATATATAAGAATCGAAGTAGATCTGTGAATTTGTACTATGCTATTATACAATATTAAACTCTTCGTTATGGAATAGAAATTGTCTGTACACTATATATTAGGATACGAACGGTTTAGTATGTGCTGCCTTTGGAGTTTCAAAGATGGCAGAATGGTTGCTTATTCTGTTCCGAAGAGGACGTTTCAAAGTGTTATTACATACGGGGTTCTGCTTGTATATGATCGCCTTAAATATTCCATATGCCCAAAACCATCTGTAAAACAGGATTCCCTATGGGTTGAATAGTGGAAGAAAGGAGGGAACAAGCATTCTTATAATTCTAAAAGGACGGCTCAGTGGTAATAGATGCGCTTGACTAGAAATATTTTTCAGAATGTGGGATTTCATCCCTACTTAAACCATTTCAGTGTGCATTGAACAACGAGTGCATATGGCATAAAAGAAACGTTTGGTTAATGAAGACGTGATTAGTTGTATGGGCAAATCGCTCAGGAATGACCAGGTGATTTAAGGTATTCATACCATCTGATTTATTTTCCTATTTTGAACCAAATACAGCGCTATAATGCATCACCATGAATTTCTTCTATTTGCACCATTTAAATTTCCTGTATAATGAAAAAAATTATCGTATGTTCCATAATGCCTGCAGCTAGGTTTCATGCAATGTATTCTGGATAAAAAGCGTCATGCGTACCACAGTAATTTTAATCCAGAACAAATATATAACTATCTTTTCGTTTTTAATTGATTATAATGTTTTGTATTAGGGCACATCATTTTAATGTAAAATTTCATTATTTTGATAATAAAATATTTTTGTCTAGTTTTCCAATCTAAGTTCTCCTAAATTTAGAGAACTAAGTTAAAATTCTGACTAGTAAGGTTTAAGTTTCCATTAATGCAGGTGGCCTAAAATAATGTTTGGAATCAAAGTTGATGAATTAATTGTACTTGTATAATATTTCTAGTTAATACCAAAACACACCCCAGTTTTTACCTCAAATCATAATATTGACACGAGTCTTAATTTACACTGACAATTACTAGGATGATACCAGCAATTTTTATAAAGTAAATACTCTGTCTCTGATTTAAAACAAAATGATAAAAAAATATAAACAAAACATCATGCAAAACGACTTTATTCGTTTTGTCATGAGTAAGTTTTTATATTCGGTCATTCCATATACATATTGGAAAATATAATTAATATTATTATATTATACTAAGAATAGCTTACAGCTTGAGGGCTTGGTTGAGATGATGAACTTGCACAGAGTTGAGACCGTGCTGTTCAAGACACAATATACCAGTACAGAACAGAGCAGAAAAGACAGGATTAGACTTGAATTGAACATAACGAATTTGAATGGAGTCTAACAGAATAGTCCAGAGTGGAATGGAGTGAAACAGAATAGTCCAGAGTGGAATGGAGTGAAACAGAATAGTCCAGAGTGGAATGGAGTGAAACAGAATAGTCCATAGAGGAATCGAGTGTAACAGCATAGTCCAGAGAGGAATGAAGTGAAACAGAATAGTCCAGAGAGGAATCGAGTGTAACAGCATAGTCCAGAGAGGAATCGAGTGTAACAGAATAGTCCATAGAGGAATCGAGTGTAACAGCATAGTCCAGAGAGGAATGGAGTGAAACAGAATAGTCGAGAGGAATTGAGTGTAACAGAATAGTCCAGAGAGGAATGGAGTGTAACAGAATAGTCCAGAGATGAATGGAGAGTAACAGCATAGTCCAGAGAGGAATGGAGTGTAAAAGCATAGTCCAGAGATGAATGGAGTGTAACAGAATAGTCCATAGAGGAATCGAGTGTAACAGCATAGTCCAAAGAGGAATGGAGTGAAACAAAATAGTCCAGAGAGGAATGGAGTGAAACAAAATAGTCCAGAGAGGAATTGAGTGTAACAGAATAGTCCAGAGAGAAATGGAGTGTAACAACATAGTCCAGAGATGAATGGAGAGTAACAGCTTAGTCCAGAGAGGAATGAAGTGTAACAGCATAGTCCAGAGATGAATGGATGGTAACAGAGTAGTACAGAGAGGAATGGAATGAAACAGAAGAGTCCAGAGAGGGATGGAATGAAACAGAGTAGTCCAGAGAGGAATGGGGTGAAACAGAATAGTCCAGAGAGGAATGGAGTGAAACAGAATAGTACAGAGAGAAATGGAGGGTAACAGAATAGTCCAGAGATGAATGGAGTGAAACAGAATAGTCCAGAGATGAATGGATGGTAACAGAATAGTACAGAGATGAATGGAGTGAAACAGAATAGTACAGATGGATGGAGTGAAACAGAATAGTACAGAGATGAATGGAGTGAAACAGAATAGTACAGAGAGAAATGGAGGGTAACAGAATAGTACAGAGATGAATGGAGAGAAACAGAATAGTACAGAGATGAATGGAGTGAAACAGAATAGTACAAAGAAATGGAGTGAAACAGAATAGTCCAGAGATGAATGGATGGTAACAGAATAGTACAGAGATGAATGGATGGTAACAGAGTAGTACAGAGAGGAATGGAGTGAAACAGAATAGTTCAGAGAGGAATGGAGTGAAACAGAATAGTTCAGAGAGGAATGGAGTGAAACAGAATTGTTCAGAGAGGAATGGAGGGTAACAGCATAGTTCAGAGAGGAATGAAGTGAAACAGAATAGTAGGGTAATCGGAGGGTAATACTAGACCAGACCAAATGACCAGAGAGGAAACGAATGAGTAAAGAATATACCATTAGAGTAAATATAAACTTATAAAATAACGTATTGATACAACACGTGTAAATTTGGAGGGTTTCCAAGGTGACTTGAATCATTTAGAAAGATTAATCATCAATTTCTATTGATTTCCAGGTTTTCTGTGTTTCAATAATCTAATAAATATCATCTTTCTATTCCAATATTTATCATTTACTTATATTGTTGTTACAATATATTTTATATAGTTTTCATATTGAGATACACTGGAATAATGAAGGATGGAATTCGGGAAGTTGTCATTTGTCAGCGAGTCGACTTTTCCTCATTTCTGACACCTATCTTGATATCAGTGTCAACCCCACACCCATACAATGCTGTACAAGTAACTGTCAACAAACACAATATTATTTATGAATAGAAAAATAAACAATTTAATCAATGCACTATAAAATAGCATAGCTTGATAACACTGTCAAAAAATATATTATTTATCTTTAAAAAAGCAAAAAATTTGGCACAGACATCCTATATATATATGTGTGTGTATTTGCAAAAATTAACATAATTATAATCTCCTCTATTTTTCTCTTATTACTATTTACAGGGCAGGGCGATGAATATTTTCTTTTACTAATGATGAGTTTTGCATTCAATTTTTTTTTGTATTTTGACTTCAGAATCGCTCATATTACTATTTGATAAGTAGCTTTCCATTAAACTTTCTTGCATGCAATACTGGACTTCCATAATTCCATATCACATTTGAATTTTGAAATGTTTCAATAGATTACATGTAATCAATTTTTTTTCACCAAGATCCTTGTTTTTTATTTATCTATTTTCTAGACACTTAGTGTGTTCATTTGTTGGGAGAGAAAAAGCTTGATCAGTAAGGCTAAAATCTTTTCATCTTTTAAGAAATAAACTAAACTTATTATAAATTAAATCGCTATCGAAATTTCAAGTATTTTTTAAAGAGGTTTGAGTAAAGGTCGTTGATATTTTGCAGTTCTTTAAAGATCCAGAAAATGGCAACTATGATATTTTAGTAAAGGTCAAACGACTTAAATAGTTCCTGCAGAAAATTCTTACAAATATATGAAGTTTTATATTAAATGTTTGCTATATTTTATAACAAATATTAAGAATTGTTCAATTGATAACTTTAGTCTCAGTTTCTAATGTTCATTTTTCACCTTCCCACGCCTTTGAAAACAAAATTTCAGAATTAATATAATAAATTCAAATTATGAATTGACCATTTACAAATAAATATGCTTAATTACAAAATTGTATCTCTGTAAAATATATGACTCTTCAATAACACAGCTCGAAATTACGTTTTAACTTATGTTTATCAATAGAAAGCACTAACCGTGGAGGTAAACTTATTCTCATTTTAAAACCATCCTTTAAGGTCTGAAAATCACGCTGGTAAAACAAGGTTTTTCTATATAAGGTCACTACCACCAGCAAACCATAAATTTCTGAAAGTTTATTAAACACATTTTTTTACTTTCTGATTACTTTCACAATCTTCACACAAAATCAAAACTAAAAACATTCCAACAAGGTACCTATCTAATAATAAATCTTTCGCAATGGTCTATTATGTTAACCCTTGATTAAAATTTGCAATAAATAACATTTAATTCTCGTTGGAATTCCTGGAATTCTAGTGGATCAAATTATAACTTTGGCTTGTTATCCATCAGTGTCCATTCATAGCCCAAGCACCTTCCATTCGCCAAACACTAAATGCGTAGCTGAGTCGTTCATGGGCCATATAGCTACAGGAATTAACCATCTTAGTGTCCGAGTCTTCGCTGCGCAAAACTTGATAGAGAAAGTCGATGTATCTGGAAGCAAGTTTTAAAGTTTGGATTTTGCTGAGTTTGTCGGAAGGAAGCGTCGGAATTATTTTTCTTAACTGAGCGAATGCATCATTAAGCGACTCCGTTCGTTGACGCTCACGCACGTTTGCTAGCACTCGTTGTGTTTGAATGTCTTCGTAAGTTTGTGGTTGTTTCCGTCGAATCTTTTTGATATCGTGACAATGCATAGAATCTTCGTCTGCGGGATCAAACATCCGTTTCCGAGAATTTCCGAGCTCTCCGATCTCATCCGAATCTACAGATTGTTCACGGGGGTTAAAATGGTTCAACTCCTCGTCTTTGCTCCTGGAATCTTCCGTGTCATTTTCCGAGGAATCGGATAACCGGAATTTGTCTTCTGGACCGGACTCCTGTGACGTGGGTTGTTCGGTAATCATTCTGTCATTTAACACTCTTTAGAAATTAAGATAAAAATGGTCTATCTAATCTTATTTTGGCACAAACACAAAAACCACGACTCAAACTGTTCTTTAAACACTAAAGAGTACAATCAAATTCACTGTCAGAACATGTGTAACTGTCGAAGTAAAACTGGATCCGAAAACAATCTTGACTTTGATTGGAAGTACCACAACTACGAAAATTACCTCCTTAACGAAGAGTCGATGAAGAGTTTGATAAAGAAGATAAGAAAAGCTAATTTAAACCGATTGTAAAGATGATAGTAGGTGAGCGGAAGAATATAAAACAATCCTATAAACATTGTATATAAGAATTCCTGGTGAGCCAATCACATTTCACTGAAGGGGGTGTAAATATAGAACTCTTAAGACTCCGTCACGTCAATCAAACGATTCCGACTGTGAAACCATATCAAATATCAACTACCAACTTTTCTACTTTCTTGTAAAATGTCACTTTCGTTATTCATCGTAGTACATCAAGGGCCCACATATTTCTCAGAAGTAGTGACGAAAAGGAAATCACATTTCTTCTTTTCTATTTGCATATTTCGAGGCATCGTTGCATACTTATTGATTGAATATAATGTATAAAATACGAAATAGATTTTCATCACACACCGATTTTCATAACCTATATAAAAAAACATAACTATTACAATTGTTATGGCATAAATTGAGAATTGATTTAAACCTTGATTCCATGTATCAAAATCATGTAACACGCGTTACGCTTTTGGGTGTAAAAGTTGTGTTGGTAATATGCTTCAAGGAGCACCTTTATGTCCTTTATCATTTATGTTTAACATTTAATGTCCTCACATGAAATATTACGTTATACCGTCAACTTAGCTAGAAATCAAAATTGTTGACACAAAACACGTAGAAGACAAATGTACACAAATTATGAGCTTCTAGTAACGATGGCGCCAAGAACAGGTCGTTGGTGAAGTGATATTTTCAATTCGACCCGGGGAGTTGTCCCGTTGAATCATGGTAAAGATAAAATAACGTCATTATTTTGGTAAACAAGCAGTTGGATTCTTAATATACTATCTTACGAACTATCAAAAACATTGTAAAAATATTAGCCTAGATCTATAATCGATCAAGTTTTCGACCATTCTCCTGTCCCAATGTCGTTATTTTTAAACCAACCAAAGCGTATTATGTGGATCCCTTATCTTGATAACGATATCGAATTTGGGGATAGCGAAACCCAAAGCTAGCATAATTACAGCCTGTGTGAAGCTATCTCACAATTCATCATCGTTAGTAAGAAACGAGTTCTACATGAAACTTTTTTGGTTCAGAATAACGTCATTAGACCTACACTGTGGTAGAAAACTTGTTACAAAATAATTGAGACCCAGTACCCCTATGCAATAGTTTATATAAGTTAAATCTATTCCATGTCTATCCTTGCCGTCTGGAATAATTCAACTAAGAAATTATGTAAACGATACAAACTCTCTCGGTTTATTTTAATTTATAAATACTGTACAGGAGTATCACTAACTAATATTGGTGTCGTCAGTGTATGTATATGATACTGCAATAACTCAAGTTCATAGTTAATTAAAGTCCGATTTCTAATCTCATCATACTTCACTTTCAAATCTCGCGTGAGGTAAATATTTTTATTTACATTTTCAGGGATATCTACTTCCTTCACATCTGCAGGTCTTAGTTTAATTTTCACAATTTTCATGATTAGGTTGTCATGATTACTGGGTATTACTTCATCATTTAGCTTTTGAAAAGCTGATACAACAACTGTGTTACAGGTACAACCTTTTTATAGTTTTAAATAGTTGTTTTAAATATAATAGGATTCGAAATGGGTCACCCCCCCCCCCCCCCTTTTTTTGCAGGTTCACTGATCATAAAGTACAAGAGGTTAGATTGTTAATAAAAATTTGAGGAAAATTTCTACGGAATACTTAAGATGAATACCTAGTTTCTCAACAATTTACTTGATTGTCAATACAGTTAGTATCACATGTAGTTCTATGATGAATTTGTAAATTAGTTATTTTCGGGTACATATTACTGGTAAGTGTTTCATTTACTCCTTAGTGTCGCTCAAGGATTGGTAACTGAGTATTTTGACAAAATACTGCAAATGAAAGTATTATACACGACGTTTCAACGATTTACATTATCGACGTGAGTAAACAGTAAATTTGAAAACCAGCAAAATAGAAATCTACTCTCAAGAATCGTGGTATGAAGTTTCTCAAGTTTATTTAAAGAGTTTATTAGGTGGCTGCCTGTGGCTGTCAAACCAAATAAACAATGGAAATAAGACGATAGATTGAGAAATCTTGATACTTCTATTTCTCTGAAACTTACCGTTTGTCAATATTGTTATTATTAAAGAGAGTTTAATTTTAAAATCCAAAACTTGAGTAATGTAAGAATTGCACACCTTATCCTGGTAATAGTTTGACAATTCCGCACCAGCATGTCAGAGCTATATCTTAGGCTGTCAACGTTTGTATCGGGTTTGTAGAATTCTGGTAAGCTTACTCTATTTATCTATTTTCACTAAAAAAAATGCTATCGAAATTTCAATACATGAACATATTGATCAGAGAGGTGTTTGCTTGTTACTCAGCCTATTATCCTATTATCGTTAAAATTTTGTAGAATTCAGTAAGAAGAAGTGAGTTCATAGAGTAGTTTATAAAACAAACTGTAATAAACAGATTTTGATATAATATACTAAACATCAACTATAGATACAACACGCACGTGTAAATGAACGTACACTGTGTCGCTAGGGGAATCGCAGGACTCTACAACACGTGCTGACTGATTAGACTAATTAATGGTAATAAACTAAAACGCCTTTAATCCTTTGACTGTAATACATATTTCTTCGTCAATACTATAGTATGTTAAATATAAAATATAGTCAAAAACTCTTACTAGTTTCCCAAACTTTGAAACATGCTAGTTATTTTGTTAATTAGTTTGACAAGAAACCTTTAATGTTGTATGGTTCCTGCAGAACACGGTTACGTCACTGGACCTCGTTTTTTTCATCCACTCTTTACGGAGCTCTAATGCATGTCCTTTGGCTAATGAAAGCACCGAGTGATAGGGGAAACTGCCAAACCTATGCCAACATCGATCTACCCACCTCAAGATGACGGAGTTTAGGCCCTATGCCTTGTCAAACCAAATATTCCGATATTCCGCAGCATGAGAAATACATTGTTTTCAAGAGAGGTATTCCCAAATAAAAATAGTTATAGGTTTACATTAAGGGAGGTAACAATGATCCACATTTTAAAAAGAAATTTATATTTAATGATTGATGGTTCTTAAAAATCCAGGAAAGGAAATAAGGCAATCAAAATTAATCATCAGAATAGAAAAGAACGTGTTTATGAGTAGTATTTTATGTTGATTTCAAAACAATTGTTTTAAATAAACCTCACTAGGTTTGCAAGTTTGGGTGCTGAAACTGAAACATGAAACCATTGGTAGTGGGCTATTTAACATGTTTGGTCCACAAATTGACTCATGTGCTCATTGTTGTGAATGAAGAGGTAGGAATATTTTGACAGACGAGTACAGTATAGTTCTGGTGAATAAAATCTCATAACCCTCCTAATCGACTAATTATACAGAATGTCATTGTTTATTCCTCTTAAAATAAACAATCAATCAACACCTAGTACACTGGATAATCGTGTCGATATAAACAATGTTACATCATAGTACCAACATCATCTACATCATTATTACTAGGTAAATAACGTCATCGTAATGTAATCATGACGTAATTCAAATAAACCAACACACTTTTACTATGAATTGTGGGTAAGGAAAATAAATGTTCAGTGTGTAGAGAAAGGAAGGGTTTATCTACAATGTTAATTAATCAATGGTGCTCTTGTCTGTTTGTTGACCTTTCACCCCTCCCACTACAGGTGCTGCTCATTAATTAACCGCCATTAATGATCAGGCGGGGCCTTACATTGATAAATTCAGAAATAGCACAACAACATAGGCCTAATAGGCCTATATTTACTACGTTCTGGGAAGTGAAAATGGAAAACTCTCAATTTCGATGGAAAAACAAATTTAACAATATTTCGCCTTTATGTATTTTCTGCCATTGATTAGTATTTCGGGCTGCTTATGAACAGTATTAAACTTTAAATTTCAAGGTGTTACACGAAACTACGATTTATCCGAACAACTCCATAATTTCTGTCGCATTTTTATGAATATTTATCATTTATTCAATTACATGTGTATATTCCTTTGTGCCTTCCTTTCTTTACCTAAGCTTTTATTCATGCTACATTCGTTCGGATCATTCATCAATGATCAATGAAGCAATATGTAAATTGTACGAAGAAGAAAAATTAAGAACACGTGGTGAAAGAGGTGAACCATGTCAGTGATAACAAGACCATTACAAACTTATATAATTGATTAGGTGCCGTGGGTTCGACTCCTCTCAATACATAATCTATTATAGCATTTATTTATTAACAGTCGCGTGTACAAATTAAATACTTTCAACAGAACAGAGAATTTTACTTAATGGTTTCAATTTGCGAGTAACACAGCCTGTTATTTCTATCAACATTAAACCAATGACGTCTAAATTGCAAATGCTGAGGGTAGCCACGATTTTTCATGTTCACTACGATGAATTCTATATCTAAGCCATAAGTCAAGTCTAATTTCTTTGCAATCAGATGAGCGAAATGGTCATATTTTAAGAAAGTAGGACGTGTAAAATGCCTATGAATATAATGTTAATATGTCAATGCACTCAGGTCGATTATATCCAGCGATTGATTAAATATTTGACATGCCATCAGTTGCAATTAGCCATTGAACATCCAGATTCTGCAACATAAACATTTAAGCTGACAAATTGATTATTTTTGCTATAATGGAATTTTGTACTAGCATTTTGAATACAAATTTTTACCCAAAGATGCTCA